CATATTGATCACTTCATGTAATAAATTGCAACTACAATGATGTTTCATCCGGAACCAACTGACCATAGTTCGTACTTCCACTAACTTCTAATATCATTTAAAGCGAGTGACTTTGAGAGAGCCCTAAGGCTCTGGTTTGGTAATAACATTTTGCCTTCCGAAGACTGACTTGTAAAATTTCATTGCAATAGAATAACGTTGCTGGAGAGGGAAAAAAAAATAATAATAAAAAAAAGTAACTTCCACTGAAATAGAAAGTGGATACCCAAATACATGTGATGGATGGATCAGCGCAATGCTCTTCAGGAAAGAGCATCTACTTTCCACAGCTCCTTAGAATAAGGCCCTAACTCAAATCTATTAATCAGGTAGGAGAATACCATGGAAAAAATGCATGTCTTGAAATAGGTCAACACATATAATACTGAAATCTACATATAGCAGAGCTGTTTGGATTAGGGTAATATGTCTTCAGTTCTACATAACTCAGAATATCATCTACAGAAAGTTTAAAGGGATATTACTGATTGACATGAATATATATATTCAGATTCCATATTCTCTGTCCCACCCATTTCTAACTGTGTGCTTAATACTGCTCAAAAAACCCCTCTAAGCTTGGTTTGCAAAGGCCCTGTGCAAGCTGTTTGGTTTGGGTATGCCTACATTCCCTCTCTTGTCTGACTTGCAAGAATAGGTGAGCAGAGAGAAAGTCATGTTCCACATGTGATAGGGATCAGTGCTTTCTTTGGATTTCTCAGTATTTCAGTCCCCTGGACTACAAAACGCATTTCAGGAAACAAAAATTGAATACATTTATAAATCCTGATTGAGATAGCCAGGTTCATCTCTACTTTAAATTGCTTTTAAAAATGTCGAAAGGGAAGGAAATTCCCAAGAAAGATATTTTTTTTTCATGTGGAACTGTTCAAACCTCTCTTTAGTGGCATTTTTTAAAGGGAGCACTTTCTAAACCTCTAAAAACCTAATTTTTAAAATACCCACTTTCTAAACCCCTAAAAAACTCATTTTCAAAATACCAAGCAGCGACATCAAGTGTCTTAACAGAAATAACATGACTGGTACCAATGTGCTGCCAGTGAGCTTGACACACGAAAATATTGATTGCAGCAAACACTATGAAATATATTTGCTGGCATCTCAGTCACATTATAGAGATCATCATGCAGAGAAAAATCCAATTCAATAGCTTTAGACCTGGCTTATAACTAAATTACAATGATTTTAAAGGTTTGACTGATCCTTATTGTTCAGAAATTTTTCTCAGTATTTTGGTAACTGGCTTCCAGAGCTCAGCTCTCCTTCAGCTCGTGTCAACCTGGCCTGTCACCATCAGCACTGGGAGCATCACTCGGACCAGGAGGCAGCAGCTGAGAGCTGTTCAGCCCAGCCAAACCCTTCTCAGAGTTGATCGTCCACAGGACGGGTGCTGATACACAAGCATGGGAAGTTCTGATGTGAAGTGTTATTTCTAGTTTTGATTTATTCCTTGCTCAAAGGCTGAAGGGTTTATAAGCAGCAGGGCAGTTGCAGACACATTTTCCAGCAGATTTAGAGCTCTCTTACACACCCATCTCCGCTACTGCCTTCTTGTAAAAAATGCAGCTATAACTAGAGCTTTGCATTGAAATCTTGCTGTATTTCAAGTGGGAGATGGAAGAAACCAAAGTAACTCAGCAGATGTTGCCGGATGCTTTAAAAGCTGCATTTAAAACGTCCCTAAGGACCTGTGCAGAAAAAGGCAAGGAAAAATCACAGTGTTACACACGCACACATAAACAGATCCATTGACTGAAACAGACTTTTAACTGTTACTCATATTAAGCAGTATGAGCAAGCACATCACTGTTTGCTGTCTTACTGATGTATCTGCACTGTGTTCAGCAATCCTATAAATCCATTATTGCTGGGAACAGCTGTGGAGCAGACCGATAGGGTGGGAAATGAGTACACAGCCGGGAAAGCTGAATAACTAGCACCAGGCTGGTCCCAGCCAGAGCCCTTACACCTTGGACTACATGCACCATCAGAAAATGCCTAGGTATCAACACACTGAAGAGTAAGAACACTTCCCAAGGAAGCAAAGGATTATTTGGTGTTACCAGCTATTGCTGAGCTTAAGACTTTCTGAAAAAAAGTCATCTGATCAGATGAACAACACTCTACATATCCCTGTGGAGGAGGCAGCCAGCCATCCATAGGCACAGTGGCCTGGACTTGACGCCTGACATGGGCGAGGGCTGGAGGGAGCGTTAGGCAGGACTGGAGGAGACAGGCTTTGCACCTACAGTGTAGGGAGAAGGAAGGGGAAAGAGCACATGGGGTGGAGGGAGATGATCAGAACCTGGGAAGGAAGTGAAAAAGGAGCAGCCTGGCAGGGAAAGCTTTCCCTGGAAAGAACAGTGGTATCCTGTGCCATCTGGAGGCTTAAAACAGAAATGAACAGGATGTATTTTCTTTCTGGAGTGACAGCAATCACCTTTTAGGTAGATACATACCTTAATCAGAGCTGACATTAGATCAGTCTTTATCACAAAGTCTGTTTTCCTTCTGATAGAATATTCCCAACTCTAAAAACACCACATCAAAAAACTGCCAGATAAAAAATTAAAACAAGTCCAGAAATCTCTTCCAGAGGATACATGTCTTCCTGTCCATCCTGCCCTGTAGTGAAACAAGGGCAGAGACGTGGCAGTGTCTGAAGAGAGCTCTTACCCCAGTACACTGAGCACACAGCTCTCATGTCTCTAGCAAACTTCTTGTCAGCACCATTAATGTCCATGAGACATTAGCACTACACTCAGAACATTGTTCCAAGGAATCTGTTTTTTTCATGCTTACTTGGAAAGCTGGAGGTAAAATGCAAATTAAAATAACTCACTTGAGATCAAACTAGACTATCTTTTCTCAGCAAGAGGGGATAATTTGCTAGCTTTTCTTCTTGCTGTCAGGAAATTATGTCTATTAATATATAATGAAATAACCCCAGGGAAAGCAACTTGAATTAATAAATGGGGCTCTGCTAAGTACCAGGGACAAAGAAGAACAGGGCTGGATCACTAATCTTTTTCTTCAGATCTAAGAAACAGTCTGAGAAGGGCTCTCAGCTTCTCCCCCATGTGAGATGTTCTAACAGCTCCTTCCCTTCAGCCAGCAATGTAGGCAGGAAGCAGCTTGTCCTGGTACTTCAGACTCAGGTTTTCTGCTTCATTTGCCTCCTCCTCCCTCGCAGGCAGGAGGTTGGCATGGGCAAAGGGCTTGCCAAGTCCAAGGGTAGAGAGAATGGAACAAAGTACAAGATTGGAGGGAGGCACTGTTTGGTACCAACTCCTTAAACACTTCTGCAAAGTACTGAAATGGAACAGTTTGCAGCCAGAGGTTTCACCACCCCGAGGTCTTCTGTGAAGAGCTGAAAGGAACTCTCTGCAGCAGTGCCAGAGTAACTGAAAAAAAGAAGTACAGTAACTTCTTAGGTGGGTATGGGAAGCGGGAAAACACTGTACCTGCCTACCTCAGAAGCAAGTTAACTACTGATCTTCACTTGCCTCTCATTCTGGCCCCAGACCAAAGTGATTGCATCTGCATTTTTTAATTAGTTTTTACTCAGAACAACCAGGAGCTGTTAAGACCTAGGCATTTTCTTTTTGCTTCAGAAAAGCACAGTGTGCAAAGTTTTCAGGTGTCCTTCCCTTCCAAGCTCCCATTTCTGACCTTCTTCCACAAAAACATCCACATCTTTCATCTCCAAACTCCATTTGCTGCCTGATAACTCCCAGTCAGGAAGGGCATGCAAGGGCACCATCAACATATCCCATTTATCAAGTGAAGAACAGGACAGAAACATTATGTCCTCTCCTCTCTGACCTCCACCTCTTTAATGTCAAAGGCATAAGAACTAATGCATGACAAGACCAAGTACAGAACGTGATTTTCAGATATATGGGTTCAGCTCTACCCACCCAAACAGAGTAACACTCCAAATGACAACTGGAACAGTTTGCTTTACTGAAGTTCTAATATCTCAAATTTATGGAATTACAGGGGGGAAAAAAAAAAGCGAGGAATTTCACTTCCCAGAAGTCTCCCGGAGGCTGATTACCCCTGGCAGTGGTGGTCACCTGCTGCAGGTCCTACAGGTTCATTGTCACAGCTTCTCTTCTGCCACATGAATCTCACTGAGAGCACTCAGACAACATCATGTGGCTGGCACATGCCCCCACTAAATGATGATGAGACAATCACACTGCTCTTCCTATCTCACCACCCAGTCACTTCAGAAAACACAGAAGTTACCATGGGGGATCACAAGATTTTACAGTTAAGTGTCAGCACCCCATGATGAACTGGAGAGCTGCTGAATGCCAGTATCACCCTCCAGGCATGTGATCCTCCTTGGGAGTGATTCAGATGGCAGCCAGGAATGGAACCTAAAAATGTTGGGAGAAAAGGACTTACCTGAGATAATGTTATATGCATCTACAGACAGCTAATCTGTAATCAAGCAGCCAGCTGTAACATTAATAAAACAGATATTTCTGCATTCCCTTCTATCACCTCCCAACAACAGAACATCTTAAAGGGATTGAAAAATCCTCACTCTTGTTCCTCTGAAAGTAAATGAGTCCTAGAAACATTGGTCCTCTCTCAAGGCTATTTCAGTCAATGTAAATCTTTTGATGGACCTTGGATGATGGTCCTGTTCCTCTACCTGGTATCAAGCTCTTCATTTTGAGAATCTACCAAGTGGCAGGACACAGTAACATCAGATTCAGGTCCTACCAGGCAAGTCTGAATGACAGATTACAGCCTTGCAGGGAGCTCCAGTGACTGTAACACACAAATGACTCAAGGGCCACCCCAGAGGATGGGAGCCCACCTTCCTTATCTATTATAAAGTCCTCCTAAATGAAACTTTAGGAAATTATTTTTATTGAAAGGAACTAAAAAGAAAACCCCAATAAAGAAAAAATAAGACAAAGTGCTCTAGGATGATGCTTTTTAATTGTTATTTTATATCTTTAGAAACAAATCAAACCATGAAAAACATTATAATGTGCAGAAATTTCCTGTACAACAAATATGAAAACAACAAAATTTGTACATCATTTCATGATATTCAACAGTCACTTATTTGAAACACATGAACTTTTCCCTTCTTAAGCAGGCCCCAAATGGGAAAAAAAATAGAACAGAAATGTAGGAGATATAATTGTCACACAGTGGAACTTTCAGTGGACAGCTTTAGATAATCAACAGCAACAGAAGACATTGACCGAAGAGACAGATCTCAGCAATTATAACACAAAGAACATCAGAGGGCAGGGAGAAAATAATTTCAGGAATTCAAGTCATCTTGACCAAGACAGATCCACAAGGTAGTGGAGCATTGCCTGTGCTCCTTCTCTTCCTGCAGAGAAGTCCTATAAGGCAGATCCTACTTATTCACATCGACACTACGCCCGACTTTATCTTTACAACATTTTAAGCCTTATCAACTTTTTTCACCTATCAACACGGGATCAACAGGTCATTTACTTCAAACTTCAGTCTCTTCTCACAATGAGTCAGTTTAGGGAAAACACATGCATACAGTTTTATTTAAAATGGATACTCATTAGATGATGCCACAAGCGAGAATCTGATGTCTGCTTCCAACACCAAACTAATGGGACAGATCTGACTGTTTTCTCTAAGAGGATCGGGGCAGTGGTCAAGCAAAACCAGTTACTGTTCTAGCTAGTTTTCTGATGTTCTGCTGCAATATTATGAAATCAACATCATCTAGCATGGAAGACTCATCTCCCTCTCCCTCTGTGCTATACAAAACAAGGGCCTTCAGAAGCAAGACAGCATTTGCCACCCTAAGGCAGCAAGTTCTTGGGAGACCTGAAATAATGAATACTGGCTCTGTGCTCTGCACAGATGTGCTGTAACTAAAAGAGTAAGAGACTTAAAAAAACCAAAAAAACCAAAAACATGACTGTAAGGGGCAGACTTTCCTACCTCCCAGTTCCTTTGGAATGGTTCTGTTTGGTCCAAGTGGTTTATCTTTGTTTGTCAACTGACAGCAGCTTAGGAAGAATATGGGCCCACTTTGTGGACAGCCAGTTTGGATGGAGCTGGCAGGATCATTAACCTCATGGCAGTTTTTTTGTTTTGTTGGCTTTTTTTTTTTTTGAGTATTTCAGAGAAAGAGAGAAAAAACATATTCAAGTGGCTGCTAAAAAAAAATATATATATATAAAATAAATTTAACCAAAATAAACAAAACTCCAAAAACAACCAACCAAAAGCTGAACTGCACTGTGGCCTGTTCTCCAGTTTTGCTCACACAGCACACCACAGTTTCACACCAGGTTGTAAAGAATTCCTCAGGATATTCATAAAGTTACAGCTGTGCATCAGGAATTCCTACATTTTCCTTCAGCTGACACTGGATCCTGTGAGGTTGTCAGGTTCCACTGTAAAGCCACATACACTCTTAGCATCTGCAGCTTTTTCTGACAAGTCTACTAAAACGAAGAAAAAACCCCCAAAACAACAAAAAAGCAGCAGAATTCCAGGGACTCTGGTTATTAAACCTTCATAAGATTTTTCACCGCTCTATAGCTATTCTATAGCATTATTCATGAACTTCATATTCATCTGCAATGCAACCAGTGCAATGATCCAAAGACCAAAAAACACACCCTCCCCCCACCCCAAGCTACTTAAGTCCTTCATTGGTAATGCCTTCCTAAGTCTAACAGTTATGTACCAGCAAAATAAATCCAATCTGATCCTTGACTTGTGAAATCAACAACTGGAGGGTTTCTGCTTGCTTGCTCTGTTTCTAAAAGGACCAGTTAAGACAACAGCAGCAGTACATTGCAAGTAATTATAAAACAATTACATTGGATCAATGAGATGCAGGCAGGTAAGACATGTCTCAGTTTTGAATGGCTAAAACAACCGAGAAATTTGTCTTTACAGCAGAATTTTGTACAATGTGTTTTGGTAGAAACAGTAAAGCCAGTCAATTATTTGGGAGTGCTTGAACACTTGGAACCTTAGTTTGAACATTTTCACAGATTTATATATTTGAGGAAAAACAACAACAATGATAAAAAGACACCAACCTGAGAAAAACTCTATTAGAATAGAGTGAGCATTATTCAGTAAATCATATATTGCACCTTTAAATAAATCATTATAAATTGTATAAAAACAGAAATATCAGCCAGGAACAGGGAGGAGCTATTCTGTCCTTCATACACACCCACACACACCCCCTTGCACACACATTCACAGATTCACTTTCTCTGGTTTTTTTCTACAGTTAAAGCTCAGAGTGACAGACCACACTCCTTTTCCTCTGGCAGAGGCACCAAAACATTAAGGCAGGGGATATTTGTGGTGAAATGCAAAAACAAAACTCAACTCCAAACTTCTGGAGAGCCCTGCCAACAGTGCAACTACAGTTAAGTTTGACATAAGCCTTATTTAAAAATCTGTGTTCTCATTAAGAGTTTCATACAAAAATAGAATCTCTGCTGTTTTTTTTTCTAGAGTAGCAACTAGAAAAGGCACAATTTCCAAGTATAAATGTCCATTTGAAGGAGCCCTTTGTACTCCTTTTTTTAAATAAAAAGGAACACAGAAAAAATAGATCACAGAGGCACATATCTATTAACTAAGTAACCAGATACAGTAGATAAAATATGTTCCTGAAACTTATAATTAAATATATTAAAACAGCTCACAAGCCTGGTGTCTGTAAATGAAATCATATAAAATTGTAATAAAAAGCTTGTGTTATTATTTTAATATTTAAATTCTACTTCACTGTTCATACTGCAAATGCTATTTCACCTATCAGTACTGTTAAATTCCCAAGAAAAAAAGCAAGATTCCTCTGTTAACTTCAAATAGTTTTGCTTGGGTTGTGTTGGTTTTTCTTTTTAACATCGACCTGCGGCTCCTGCCACCATTGTGTTTTTCCTCCTGCAGATCACTTCTTTGAATGCAGACAGAACTGCAGAAGCCATACATGAGACACTGCACACAGTCCCAGAAAACATGAGTAGAACACCTCCCTTTCCTATGGGCAGGTAACATCTCCTGGAGAAACTGCATTCCTGGTGGACTATGTGTGGTAGCCATTGGCCTTCCCAAAGCCTGGCCCAGGTGTGAAATTTTCATAGATTGCCATTGCTGTCATGTTTTGGTAAATAAGATCAGTTTTCTTCTCCCTCTGGGATCTAATAATATCCATAACACACTGGTTTAGGAAGACGTACTGGTCCTGATAGGAGAAAAAGAGAAGGTAATGCATTTCTAGAAAACATCTGATTTTCAAAGTCATTCTGCTTCTGAATGTAGGTTTTGGCACTGCACTGAATGTTATCACAGAGTATGTTTTAGAACTTGTGTGTGTAGTTCATAGAAAATAGAGCTGGAAGGGACGTCATGATGTCATCTGACCAACATCCCCATATAAAACTAGGATCGAGTTTACTGTCATGCCTAATGCCCTCCTAAAAGACTTTCACAATGGAGATTTTACAGCCTTTTTCAAATCAGCTTGAGTTAGTCCACACACCTTTTTGGATCAAAGAGATAATTTCAGCAGGAACACTTGTGTTCCTGTGGAACACAAAAGAAAAGATGCACATCGAGACCACCTGACTCAAGTCAATTCTGGCTCACAGTTAAAGGATAAAACCCACATGGGTAAAACAAGCTGCAAAAAAGACTTTGGGATTTGGTTCTTTCCAGCTGCAAGTGCCAGTCCTACAAAGTACTCTTGCTTGGATGTATGGTGGGCCCTGGCTGCAACTATTTCTGTGGGAAGAAATGGAGCAGGAAGGAGGGAAGCTAAACAAAGAACAATTTTAACTCCTTAATATCTTATCTTAGTGTAGTTCTGAGCTACATCTTGAGTCCATGCTTCCTGGATTATTAGGCACACTTGAAAAATGTGCTGCTGGGTCCAAGACAGCCTCACCTCAGTTTGCACCATTAAAGGCCGGTGCATGCGGAGGTCGTACACCACTCCGTACACATCCACAGTGTTCTCCATTTCCATCTGCTGAATCAGGCGGTCAATGGCGATGAATGTCCCCGTCCTCCCGACACCAGCACTGCAATGACACAGGGAGGCCATTTACTGCTTTCTACCAACCACCTGCTCCCTGCTGGTCTGATGAAAAGCCAGTGAAACCGGTACGATGCCTCCTATTATTTCAGTGGCATGGTAATAAAAGCCTTGGCAGCCCAGAGGGGTGGCTCTTACTACCACCAAGAGGAAGGAGGGATATGCTTCTGGGCTTCTCAGCCTTGCACTTGCACAAGATTATATCGAAAAGCACTGGAAAGGACAACTTTTTCAGCTAAGTTTTCCAGGCTAGGAGAGATTCTAATGAAATTTTGTATCACTTACTTTGCTACGTACATAGCATTGCTAGTTTCTGAAGCACAAGGCAAAGGGTTTAATTCTGCCCATGCCTTTAAGCAAAGAAACTTATTTTGTTTTTAATCCCATTGGAAAAAAAAAAAAAATCGATCATAAAAAAACCACAAGATAAAAGCATGTCTAACAGAAACACGTTCTTCCTACCTGCAGTGCACCAGAGTAGGAGAGTCAACTGGATTTTGACTGTTGTACTGATGAACAAGGTGTCTGAAGTCGATGAGAAGGTCTGTTGTCTCTGGCACTCCGTGATCCGGCCAGGAGGTGAAATGGAACTGCCGCACTGTGTGGCTCTCTGGTGTGTTGGACTACAGGAATACACATTAAAAAACAAACCAAAACAAAACAAACAACAAACCCACAAGACAATGAAAACCGGCTTCAGAGGAGCAACAGTAGGGGCTTCCTGCCATATATACTGGGCCAAGCTCAGCTTCAATAAAGATGCCTGTTACAAGACGTGCAGGGATTTGGATCAATGATATTCCAGTTTCCCTCTTCCTTCCACTACAGTAGGGAATACCTTGAAATAATTTTCTTTTCCTTTGACTTTACTCTGAGCTCATATCTGCTGCGTTGTATTTGCTGATGGGGCTAATTGTTCAGTCCAGCAGATATTACAAGTATCTGCATATGCACAAGGTTATTTTATATACTAACAACTAACAACCAAGGCAGTACTTACCTTTTCTACAGTGAAGTCCCTTATTGTCCATTCTGGAAGGACAATTTCTGAGACCATTGTCACCATAATGTCACCGTAGGTCTTGGATTGCTTGTCTGGCCAGTACTGCTCACATTTTGTCTAAGAGCAGAGTTACAAAGTTACACATGGCAACGAAGCAACTGACTCTTAGTTTTAAATAACACACCACCTGAAGCAGGGCTAGAAAGCATGTCACCCTTCTCAAGGGCTATTCCAGGGCAAAAGAAGCTCTACCAAAATCATTCTTTAGAGAGAAGAACCCACCCTTAAAGATAGCAATTCCACAACTCTCCTGAGGCAATCTATTCCAATAGTCAGCAGATATGAAAATGGGAAAAAGCCAAAAAAAAAAAAAGTTGTGCCTATTTGATTTAGAAAATAGTCTTCCACCAAGAGGATGGTTGTTAAAAGAAAGTGGTCAGTCTCCAAACTGCTACAAAATTAGAAGGGATCCAGCTGCCTTCAAGAGACAGTTCAGTTTTGATAAAAACATACCCGAGCTTGTTCCATACATTTTGTCAACATAACAATAGAGTAGATATTCTTTTCCCAAATCATTTCCCAGAAGTCGTCTATAGTATTGGGTAAAGGACCCTGTGCAGCAATAAATGCCTTCTTTGAGTTATAGCCCTAAGAAGAAAAAAACAAAATCAATGTATATACACACACAAACGGGCATCAGTGAGACATAAAAGCTGATTTTAAACATCATTAAGAGCTGTTAAGCCTACATCAGAAAAATACACATTATATTTCATTTCAGCTAACGAAGCAACTTACAGGTATATAGTTTGCATTAATATAATCACCAGTTCCAGAGCTTTCATTTGAAAGTTTAACACGCGAAATATCATCTGCAGAAAGAAAAAATGAGAAGACAATTATGAATTTTAGAACTGGAACCTTTCACCAAAATACTGTTTATCTAATGCATGGTTTCTAAATAAGAGGTGTTTTGGAACAATGTGCGTTTTAAGAATAAGAACAGAACTTCAGGAATCATAACTAGTGGTATTTATATAATGAAAGCCTTCAGAAAAATGAGTGGCCAGGATAAACACTCAGAATACTCAACACAGTTTATTTTATTTTTAAACATGGTATGGTTTTGCCTATTTATATATTTCTAATCCAACAAAAAATTTACTACAGTTTTAATTACTGGATAAAAAAAAAGTAATTTGTCTCCTGCTGCCATTGCAGCTGATGCTTTTCCTCTAAAGCATCCATAAGTACCCATCACTGTTCACCTTTCAATTCCATCTTACACGCTGCTACCTTGGGATGCCCACAGGCAGCTTGGCAGTGCTTAAGACTCTTCGTTCATCTGCAAAGCTGGTCTTATATTTCTTATAGCTCTGCATATATATCTGTCTGTGGTCAACTGTTATCCTTTTGTGTTTTCAACCTGGACTTCGAGTTTCTCACAAATGGAAAGCGAAAGTTATTTAATTAAGGGAAAGTTCTTTAGAGGAGTTTTCTTAAGAAACAACCTTGAGGGAAAGCTCTTTCAGGTTTGCTTATACAGTGATTTTGGGAAAGCAACAGCTCAAATTCAGTGCTTTGGAAACTGACAACACTTGAAACCTCTGGGTACTGTTAGAGCCAGATTAGCCAAACCCAAGGTTTTCACTTAAACACACGACCAATAGAAGATGCAAAACCAAAGAGAGTAACTCACATGGTAAGACATTGTTGTATCTATTTTTTCCCCTGTTCTCAGGTAGTTCAGCAGCAAATTTGGGCTGATGAACACCAGCAGACTTGAGTTCCTACAGTAAAAGAAGGATTCATGAACACCTGGTCTGGGTTTCAGAATCCCCCAAACACATGACAAACAGATAAAAATACTCCAAACACTCACGGTCTGTGCTGTAAAAGCAGGCATGTTAAACTGGGATAAATGACAATAAAAATCATCTTACTACAGGGTGGGACGGTGACAGTGGCAAACCTGATGGAGAAGGGTTTAATACAGAATGTAGGAATTGTAGTGTGTTTAAAAATCAGAGATGGGCTTTAAAAGCCTGTTGTGCTAAAACACAACACTGATATCAATGGCACACTAATTCTGGCCCCAAGGCAGTGAACTACTCTGCATAAGCTTTACAGACATTACAGGGAGAAAGGGAGCACGCACATAATGAACAGACTGAAGGACGGCAAGGTGGAGCACCAGCCTGTAAAGTACAATCCCAGAAAGAATTTAAAGAATAAAGTCAATTAAAAACTTCAAGGAGATGAGGAAAAAAACCTAATTCTTTAACAGCAGACATGACAACACAGAATCCTTCCTGACACTTCCTTCCTGTCCTTTGTACCTTGGAACAATTGAGCTTTAGCACATTTCACAGAAAAATATTTACGGTCAGTAAGCAAATCATAATTGCTGTTTCTCAGACTGCTCCTCTGAGCTATTCACAGGTGTGGTTTGCAAATCACACCTACACACTGAAGAAGACAGTGAAATTAGCAAGAGACCTGTCTTGCTGTGTACTGAAAAACCCTCCAAGATGAGAAAAAAGAAGTGTAAAAGTTAAATAGCATCCCCCAGGCTAACTCTGCAGTGTTGACTAGGGCAAGGACTCGGGAGATCCTGTCTCTGGTGAGAGCTCTGACCAGCAGGCCATGCTGTAAGCTCACGGGTAGTGACAGTAATTCAGGACATGAAGTATTTATCATGCACTTCAACTAAATTTGGAGCTGCATAGGGGAAGAGAAGGCTATACATATGGCTTAACAGTCTCTATAATAAAGGATCCTTCTCCTTGCCTTCAGTAAGCCTTGTGTATGCTCCATAGAAAAGCTGATGTGACTTTCCAAAAATATTTGTCATGAAGCTCTCTCCACTGAGGACACATACCTCATACTCTTCTGCAAAACCACAGTTGGAGTCAGCTTGCTGCTTCTTAAAGTAGGACTCAAAGTTCTCCACTTTAATCATTTTTGATCTAAAATGAGAAAAGCCATCTATTAGCAACTGGCATTAGGTCAAGAAACCATGGATTAATTCAGTCAATGTGTTAGAAAGTGTTCTTTACTTACTTCTTGACCCTTTAGGGGAGGGAGGGGGGAAGAAAAAAAAGCTGATTAGACACATGCAGTTGTATTTTTCACTATGTGAATCTAAGAATGAAAGCAAGACTGTTAGTTGCAGCCACAAAACTGTGCATTTACAGGGGACAGGGTATCAAGCATAGCATATAACTGCTCTGTTAAACCAAGGAGAGAATAGTACATCCTTCAGGAGAGGAACACTGCAGAAGGTGTCAGTCAGCCACTTACTCCCATTGGATTGGCCCTATTCTCTGGTGTATTTTATGTCAACTATCAAAGTCTACACAGGTGGGATTTCATGGGATGCTCTGGCCATGCCTTTCCATCAGCACAAAAATGGGTGCAAGAACCAACAATGTGGTTCAACTGCACTGCCTGTGACTTCCAATTTATTATGGTTAGTCCCCTATGGCCAGCTTTTACAATCACAACATTATCTGAATTAAGGGCTCAGCACACAGTAGTCCCAAACAATACAAAAAATTCAGGTCACAGTGCTCATTTTGCCTATGTGCACTTTATCAACAATTTGGTTTGTTCCCTCAATGTGCATGAAACATCAAACATCCCGTTTTTCAAAACCATGTGGAGCATTTGTGTGTCTAATGGTGATTCATGAAGTGAACACAAATCTCTGCAGTGGCTCTAGAAGTCTTGATCAATATGATTATTTTCAGTCTGCAGGCTGGGATCTTTAAATTCCATGAGGAATTAATACTTCAAAATTCTATATAAAACTGCTCAGAAAACAAGTAACTGGGTTCAGAGTAATTATTGCAAATATCACTTGATCTCAAAAAACAACACGTGAAAGGATATGGCCTTACTTAATTGGAGAAAAGGACACTTCAGTATTTCTTTTATCTTTCCTGTAAGGTGAAAGAAAACAACACATAGGTTCACAGTAGAATTTAATGGAATGCATATGAGATTTCTGACGACAGCTATCTCCTGTGCCTGCTGAGAACAATTTCTTTTAAAGCATCTCATTCTGTGAAAAACAAAACCAAACTCCTCAGGCAAACCTTACACCTGGAATAAAAATAAAATACTTCATCCTTTATTTGGTGATGTTGTTCTTTCTGTTTCTTTCTGTTGCAACCAGAGTATAAAGCCTGAACATAAACCACATATTTTGGTGGAATAAGTACATTGAGGGATCTGTACTGCTACGTAACATCTCAGGAGAACTGCTACTAATACCAGAATCCCTACAGTAAGTGTTCAACAGTGATGTGTCAGTCATACTGAAAGTGGTTGTTGAATGAAAATAAATGTTCTCGTTATTGTACACAGTTATTGGACACAATTTGGAAAACAACAACAGTTAATCAAACAAACTAAGAAAGGTGGACTAAGGGTCTTACAGTTAACTCCTTAGAAAGGATGTACTACATGATCAAAAGCAGAAAAAAAGCCTTTGTGGACTCTTACATCCCAGATTATTTGGAAAACACTGGAAACAGAGACCAGCTCAAATCTTAGGCAACCCATCAGCTTCTGGAAATTCCAAAATGGAAGTTTCATGTGACAGGGAGTTAAAAAGGATATTAATGGAAAACTTAAAATCAAACCATATAAGATACAATTACATATGCCTTTAAGCACAATAATTTGTGATGTTTGCTCATTTTTAAGTGAATGACTTCATCAGCATGCCTGAATGGTGAGGCCCTAGAACAGGTTGCCCAGAGAAGTTGTGGATGCCCCAAACCTGGCAGTGTTCAATGCCAGGTTGGACAGGGATTTGAGTAACCTGGCCTGGTGGAAGTTGTCCCTGCCCACGGCAGGGGGACTGGAGATGATCTTTAAGGTCCTTTCCAACCTAAGCCATTCTATGATTCTATTCTATCAATTAAGATTTATTTTATTTAGCTCTTCTGAACTCATTAGTTTGTAACTATGGGGTTAAACAAAGTGATTTAACAACTGGATTGATATTTCAATTCTAATCTGTAACATACAAACAACATTTTTAATATAATGTATTTTAAAGCATCATGACAGAGGTGTATAAAATAGAGAGATACAGAAGTGAAATACTGGTGTTCCTCAACACAACCAATACAATTATAAACATACATTACCTTCTCCTTCTCCAGAATATGAAACCCCCTATAGCGACGACAGCAAATATGGCCAAAAGGCATCCAATAACCACTCCAGCAATAACGCCTGATAAAAGAGAACAAGTATTACTCATTACTGATCTACCTCTTCAGTAATGATCTAACTCAATCAACATACTACAGCAGAACCTTACAGGTGACAGAGCATGCTCTATGCTACTAAATGTCTTGCCTTTACTGTGTCCTTCGGCAACACCAGTATTGAAACCTCAGTAAGAATAATAAAAAGGAGATGATAAATTAATAAAAAATTGGGATCAAGGGATCAGTATCTGCATTCCAATACACCTGCTTCTAGTTTACCAGAACTGTTAGAACATCAGTTTCTTTTTGCTACTTGTTGCTATACCAAAGTCTCACTGTGCCATCCAATCCCTTTTAGCATGCCATGAGTAGTACAACTTTTGGCAACTCCTCCAGTGGAAGTCATACATGTTAAAAAGGGATCACCTGCAGAACTAGCAAGGTATGAATTTACAGAGTAGTGTCACTGCAAAGCTAGAAACATTTCATACAGAGAAACCAATGGGTGTTTTGATATTATGAAACTTGCCATAGTTAAGGAATCTCCACATGCTGTGTATGTGCCAAGCCACCAGTTCTATATTTGACATTAACTATACCTGGATCCTGGGGTAGTAAAACCGGTTCAGAACAGGGTGAAAATGATACATAACTGTCTTCCCCTTCAATCACGTTGGCCATAAAGGTTATATTAGTGAAACCTGCAACACATGCCCTGTTGAAAAGGGAGAAGGAACAAAACAAAACAGGTACATTATAGGTTCATTTAACAGCCTTAAGCAATATCTGTAATCTTTCCAATAGATGATCTTTTAGATTTCAACTGCAGAAAATTTAACAAGACAGTGATTTGAAATAAATACCTGTATGAAAGAAGTGGAATCAATGGTCCGTTTTCGTAGCCATACATTGTATTTCCCTTGCCTACATTAACGATGTTTTTACCATTCTGAGAATGGAAAGAAGGTGATTCCGCCTGCTCTGTTTCTATGACATATGTAACATAGGTAGTTGTCATCTTCTTCTTGAAGTCTTTGTACGTGTTGTTCAATTTAGACTTCAAAGACTCATAACCTTCAGGAAAAAAACAAGGATACATGTGATATATACATCATCCACTGGTTTTATATCAGTTGGCACAATGGCTGAGATGATCGCATTAACCACAGCTGACATTACTCCATAAGTACTGCCTGAAATGAAAGGCTAAGTGCAACAGATAACCTCAGAAATCTCTTCTACTGCAGTGCAATCTACTGCACTACCTCCCTATTTCCCAGCGTTACTTGTTTCAATCTGCTTTTGGTTTTACTTCTACCACACAGAGCAGAGCTTCTGCGTAAAGGTACATTAGTGGTGGAACCTGGTGCCCCATGGACAAGCTTCACTAGCCAAGTAAGCTATATCCATACATGTTCTATCAACTATCATATGTAGAGACTACAATGCAAATGGTGTAGAAAAAGTCAATCAGTATTTGATAACATTGTGCTACCCAAACAGCATCAAGCCTCATTCAGGGTGACACTAAACTTGTCCTGACCTTGTTCCTTGTTCTATCTTACAAGAAGTCTCACACCTAAACCCTAAGAAATGAAAGAGGTAATTTCTGCCTTTTCTTGACATAGACAAGCAGTGGACAAAATGCTGAACAGAACAGTTTCCTTTCCAGAAGACTAAAACCAGGCTACCACAGTGAGCAGTGACCAACAGGACACTGTTCACAGAACAGCACCACTTTGCAGTATCTGTTATAGAAGATGAACCTTAGAAACTTGAAGCAATTATACAGTTGAGGCACATGTAACCTAAGAGGTAATAAACTAACTCAATCTACCAGTTATCCAACAACTCAAAAGCAAGCAAACTGACACAAATATTCAGTGTTGAGGGAGAATGAAGAATCTTGTTCATTTGACTGAAGTTTGCATACACTGCTCTCTAGTGACTGCCTTTACAAAGCTAAAAGCTCCTTCTAAAAGCAGATATAGTATTGAATTAATCTTTAAAAAGGAGAAGCCTTGTGGGAGCTCTGAAAGGGGGAAAAGCTTAAAGTTTTGTAGAGTTGTGTAGAAACAAGGGTTGCTCTGACACCAGTGAGCTGGTGGCTCACTGCCACCAGCAGCAAAGCTCCCATCAACTGTAACTGTGCAGGAACAGGGTGCAAGACAACTCTTCTAAAGCACTAGCTAGACTTCATTAAAAGCAACTGAGGGTGCAATTAACTAAGTTGCCTTGAAATGTGTGTTCAATACTACCTGAGATATGTTTTATGTCCTGTCTTGTCCCTAGTTTCAAATCCAACAGGAATCCCAGGTTATATCCGCAGCACCTTGTGGATGTCTTGGATATCATCCTAAAACAGCCTCAGACACTATTCCTTACAAAGTCCCCTCTGTCTATCCTAAAGGCAATGATGTCTGTTTTAGAACGGAGAAACACATCTCAAGAATATTTGTGCTAATTGAATACCATACAGCTGAAGCAATGCTTGGCTGTAAGGCTATTTTCTGCTCCTATCAAAGCACTCTACATTGCAAAGGCAGGCAGTCTTCCTCCCTTATTTCTCTCCTTCTTGAATACCTTACAATTAAAGAAGAATGCACCAAATCTCATCACAACTAGCCAGGACTGGCTGAAAGTACAAGCAGAGCTGCACATAAGAGACTGGCATTCAAACCAGCAACTCTGGGGCAGCTGAGTAGGCATGTGAAAAGTAGGTATTTTCTGCACTGATGTGATATATATACATATACCTATAATAATAGTAGATAAAATTCCTATTATATTTTTATATATATATATATACATATATACATGTGTGTATATATATATGTGTATATATATATATACACACACACACAAACATTTCTTGGACAGGTATTGTATGGAAAACCATAGAAAAAAGATCTACAGTCAAAATTCTGCAAGATGAATTTCCAGTGTCATGACAAAGGATAAGCATGAATGTCAAATCCTACTTGGCAGAAATTATCTCCATCAGGTGCTTTATTCCTTCAATGCACTGGCAGAAATGAAAAGTTGTTCAACTGGAAACTATGCTGCAAAGGTAAGTTCCTTAATTTAATGATTTATCACTAGACATTCACCAGTTAAAGATATTTCTCAGTTTTCATGTTTTAAAGACACCAGTTTGACAGACTACTCTGTAGTTTTCTGTGACATTCAACTTCCCACAGCATTAATGCTGGCAATGCTATTCAAGCCTTCCACCTGCATCCCATCTCTCTCAGCTAAAAGTGCTTTAAGTTAAATTAGGAGGAAAGCCCTCTTCTTTTTAAGATCTTACTGCAGACGTCTTCCAGCTGAAGAAAGGATGGGAAACACATTCTAAGTTCCAAAGCTGCTTGTGTTAGCTGCTATGACAATTATTTGGGAGGGGGGGGAGAAGAAAGGATACAACATTTTGAGGAAGGGAATCACTGGTAAATCAGTTTGGCAACAGAATAGGGGCAGTACATATGAGACTTGTGTACAAGGAGAAGTCAAGAAAGAAAAGATGAAGTGAAAATGGGCTTACTGAAAATGAGGAGTGATCCGACAAAGCAAACATGATTTTTGAAAGGTGACTGAAAATACTGAGCCAGCTTTTTCTCTGTCCATTTAACACCTATTTAGAGTCTAAAACATAATGCCATCTGATAAATTGTTTCACACAGCTGAAGATTATGCCATAACATCTTACCTTGTTCTGTTGTGATCATTACTGCGTAGGCTTTTAATGGACCATACAATGAATCAAAATCAGAGAATTCAACAGACAATGAGCTGTGACTGACCACCTTGACTGAAGGAGCTTCACTTGGATGAGGTGGGTCTATCAACAAAAATATTTTTTAGCATGTTAAGGACTGATAGAAATTTTCCGAACAAGAAAATTCTGTAATACTGATGCTGTTCATATAATGCATATTTATCGTGCATCACATTAGACTTTGCATTAATGTAGTGTTTTATTCATAATCTGTAGGCTGATAATGTACTGCATACCAACTTTGGCATTCTGCAACCATGAAGTTAATATTTTTGTCCTACAAATATCTTTAATTCTCAAATCTTAATGCTTACCAGTAATGCTTGTGTGACACACCCCGTACACTGGAGAGCTTTCAGAACCATTTGAAACAGTTATGATAGTAACATTATAGGTGGTGAAATAATCTAAAGATTCTGTTTTGAAGGTTTCCTCTGAGCCTTCTCCCATGCAGGGTGGAGCGTCTTCTTCATTTGTCCTTGAATTATTTATATTAGATATTATAATTTTGAAGCCGGAGCTGTTACCAGAAGGACATTTCCATTTCAGCATTAGGAAAGGCTGCTTGGCCACTGGTTCACACCAAAATGAATTCACTGAGGCAGGTTCTGCCAAAAGAAAAAATAACAAAAAAGAGGAGTAATAAATCTAGTGTTGTCCTTAATAGAAAAAAATGACTATTTGTATATTATGTGTATAAATGTTTGTAAAATTTCAGTTTTCCTTTCCACTTTTAAAAAGATGTGTACATGGCATCTACTGCGCACACAAGGACTTGTTACCCCATGAGAAAGACAAGTATTTAATACACTAAGTACACAGACCCATTCTGTGCTCTGTAACTCCTCTACAGACAGGGTTACTGGGAAAACTTAGGCTGAGCATCTGTCAAGATCAGCAACATTTTCAAAATGATGTTCAACTCTTTAACATACTACACAAAGAACATTCTTAGAGAAGTATGTAGACTGACACTAACTCCCTGTACAACTATGTAAAACTCTTAGTGGCCAACAAACAAGAAAATATAGGCTCTGTGCATTAAGAGCATAGCAGTAGCCATCCTTAAAACAGCAACTACAACACATCAGTGAGTCTTCTAGGACACAATATAAAAATGCAACCTTATGACCAGATACAAAAAGATATTTAAAAAGTTAATGTAGCAGTAACACTGAGAAGAAAGGTCTCTTTAAACAGAGAGGCACAACCATGCTTCGATGTTTCAGACAGACTGAGATTATGAGTTGCCAAGCAGCACTTATAGAGTACCAGCAACTCTCTTAACAAGTTCATCCCAGAGCCCCTTTGGAAAACCCACGGGGGAGCTCTGGGACAGATTCATTTCACCTCAGTCAAAGCGGGACAAAAACAAGGAAAGGACAAAGTAGCACCTAATCACAACAAGGGGGAAAATAGTCCCAATGCCTCACATGAAGAACACAGGTGTACCTCACCCTTCTCCTGCCTGCAGATGAGCTGCACAAAGCAGCGTGGCTGACAGGCACCCA